ATCCATGGTACCACTAATCAGAGCTGCAGTGATCCTCCTCCCAAAATGACGCCACAAAAATTGAACTACTTTCACCATCTAACTCTGAAAAACTGCTGCTTCACACTTGGCACGGGCATAATTAGTCAAATCTATCTGTGACAGCTCAGACAGCATGAGGAACACTTCATAACATCAACCTTTATGGACAGAGGATAAGAACAAACTGTTGCTTGCACTTTGATAATGCTGATGTGAACCTGGCCACGACTGCCACAGTGAACGCATCGTCCTGACAGTGAAGCACGGAGGTGGAATTATGATGATATGAGGCTGCATGAGGGCAAAAAGTGTTGAGGAGATGATATTTATAGATAAAGGCACCATGAATGTCTGTGAATAAGCAAAAACACTGGCTGACAAGATGAGTCCCAGTCTGCAGAAGCTTGAAGAAGAGGAATATTCCAGCATGAGAACCATCCAAAGCACAAAATCACACAAGCGTTTCTAAAGATGAACGAGTGATTCACTGACTTGAATCCAATAGAACATCTTTGGGATGCTTTAAAGAGAATGTTGGACGCATAAGTATTTAAAAAAAGAAAAGATCTGAATCTCAGTAGTGAAAGATGTATCGATTTTAGGTGGATGAAATTCCTACTGTGGTGTCTGTGTTTATATTGTACGTTTAAACTGGTAGTTTTTAATTTGACATCAGGAGCTAACACCCCACTGCTCCACTTAGAAGTAATGCAGTTATGTAAGGTGACACAACGTTGAATCATTTGGCATTTAAGAGATATCGCAAGAACTTCTGTACACTTCTTCTTTTTTTTTTTTTTGCGATCGTCAGAGAAAACTAGGGCAAATAAACGACGACAAGTTTTCTTACTCTGCTGACAGCCGGAATGAAAAATGTATGTTTTGTGCAGAAAAGCTGCAACTGTGTGCAGCATTTTGCTTATTTAGTATTTATGATGGCCTTTTGAAACAGGTGCACAAAGGTTTCTCATTAGAAGACTCAGAGTCTCGATCGCAGTGCAACGACGAGAAGACGGAGGAAGAAACCTGCACCTTTAGTCTGAAGCATCTCTAAAGAAAAACACTTCTAAAGACTGCAATCTTTTTACATAACACCATTTTGGGAATTGGGTGTGTTTTTTTTGTGTCAGCTTCCGTCCCTGTTGGGGGAAAAAAAGCTTCATCAAACAGACAATCCCCATATGGACACACATACTGGCTCAGACAGACTCCTTTAATCCATTTCTCTCTCCTGACTCACTGAGTAATAACCTGCCTGACTCTGGATGGGGAGTTAAAGGGTGAGAACGATTGAGAGGAGGCTGGAGGGAGGCTCGAATCCTCCAAAGACTTGTATAACACACACCCTGCCACCAGCCTTTTCCTAGCTGCTGCTGTGTGTCTGCCTCTGTGTGTGTGTGTGTGTGTGTGTGTGTGTTCTCTCTCTTTTTTTTTGCCACACTCGAGTCAGGAATAGAAAGTAATTAGACTGCCACGGGTCCCAGCTGGGGTTCAAAGTGGAGCGTGGAAAAGCAGGCGCCTTCTTTGCCAATCATCAAAGGCAATCTCTGCCACCAGATATGTCGTTTTCATTTCACTTTTTAATGAAACCCTGTGAAAATCCAGCAAGCTGGGAAAAAGATGTTGTGGCAGGAATTGTCACTGACTGCAGAGCTTAACCCCGCACCGCTCTGACGGCACTCTGTGGATCTTAAGTCTGAAGAAATCCTCACACTTTGACTTTTAACTGCATGTGTCTCGCTTACCTCCGCCGGGTCTTGCTGCTTCGGTCCACAGGCTCTCCGGTCCGTCCTCTCTGGGCATCAGGTTTGGTCCGATTTCAGGTAAAAAGGGATCTGGGAGGGACGATATCGTAGCTCCATCGCGGCCCCAGATTGTCAAAGGTGTGGAGGTCCGGGGGGTGACAAACACCAGGGGAGGGATGGGACTGAGGGAGGTCTGGGTCCAGAAGGAAGCGGAAGGGTTTGGTGGTTCTGTAGAAGATTGCAGGTTTGTTTCTGGATCCTGGAGAGAATCAGAAAATCCTGGCGGTTTGGTCCTGTCCCCTCCACCCTGGTGGCTGTATGACGTCTCCTTCTGGGGCGTAGTCGAGGCTGATGGTCCACCTGGAGCATCCATGTCCAGCCCACCTGTAGGCTCTCTGTTGGCAGGTAGATCCTCACCAGACAGCGCTGAAGCTGCCTCCGCCTGCCTCTCTCCCATCTCAGACGTGCTGTCGGTCCTCTTCACCTCGCTCCTCTGGCTCCATGCCTCTCCACCAGCCTGGCTCGGCCCAGATCTTCCATCCAGGCTGCCCCCGTTTCCAGCCTGCGTCACCGGATCTATCCCCTCAGGTCGTCCATGTGGGCCAGCCCCACCTCCCGCACCTACATCCAGCATCACATGTTTTGCGTCTGCAGACTTTACATCTGAGCCGGCACACTGTCCTTCTTCACAGGATCCGACCTGAGTGGGCTGGAAAGGGGCTCCGCAGACGCAGAGGCAGGTCCCGGCTATGAGGAGGCGGCGGAGCGTCCCGGACATCAGCATCTCTGAGTCGTCTCAGTGCCTGCTGACAGGAAAAAGTGGTGACAAACAGGCTTAACAGAGGCGTGAACAACCCCTACCTGCAACCTCTGCACCGTGTCGCCAAGCCAAGCAGACATGTGGGAGACAAAGCAGAAGTGATGTGCAAGTGCAGATTAAAGTGCATTTTAATTTGAGAGCTTGAGAGGCTGTGATAACCACAGAGAACAGGATTAAACTGAGCGGTTCTGCTTGCCTTTGCTTTGATGCACCGCTTAAATTCGGATGAAATTCCCTTTCATCTCTGAGTCTTGTGTTCACTTTGTATAAACAGAAGGAGCTGCAACACACACTGAGAGGCAGAGTGACAAACTGAGAGAGAATCTGACACAGCAATCCTCAGCACCCACTTCACCTATAAATAGCAGCAGGTTTTTCTATCCTCCAGGAGTCTCTTCAGAAAGCTGCATGAATGTTGCAGAACGTGGGCACATTTTGATGACACATTGCATCAATAAAACAAAACAACTGATGCATTTGTTGCTTTAAATGATGATGATCAACTATTAATCTGGTAAAAAAAATTAAAGGAACGACACGTTTTATAATTTCGGGGTGACACCCTTCTGTAGGAATCGGCAGCACTGATGAAGCACTGTTACAACGGAATCCACTTTTCCCCTGTGATCAATACAGCTGATCGATCACCTGACAAACCCGATCGCTCGAGCATTTGGACTGTCAACACATGCACACACTGCGGTGCCGAATCCCACAAACACCACAGTGGAGCTATTCATAGCCTCGATGCAGCCCCTTATATCGCATCGCATTCTGCTACTAAGTGCGACATTTGCATTAGATTAAAAGATAAATAAAACTGTCTTTACCTTCCACAGTTCATTCTGTGCACGCAGGAGCTTCTCTTGCTGGAAAAACAAAAAACAAAATGCAGGATGGGAATTCGGGGTAACGTGGAGATGGAGCTGGAGGAGAGGCTTGTTGTTGTGCAGCTCAGTCTTCTCTACGTATGTCTGCCTGCTCCTCAAGTGCTGCCACCGGAGCCCTCAGATCTGCAGGATTTATGAGAACCGATGTATGATCAGCTGCCCGTCTGCTGCTTGTTGTCTCGTCTCCGGAGCAGGTTTCGTGTCCAGCGTCTGTCTGTGCCGGAGGGTCACATGAGGCTGCAGGTGGTGCTGAATGGACAGCTCCTTATCCTCAAGGTAAAGGTCGCCAGGTGCAAACACCACAGTGGAGAAGTACACAGGAAAAGTCATGCATTTATATTTAATTTCAGTAAAAGTGCAAAAATTATTCACATCAAAATACATTTAAAGTACCAAACGAGAAAGTACTAATTTTATGTAATGGTTTATTACAGAATAATGAATGTTATTAGATTATATTTACTGACGCAAGTATGTATTCATCACTTTAATTTTGCATCTGGTTTAAAAAAAAAAAAAAAAATCTGCGAATTCCCCCTCAGGGATCAAGAAAGTTGTTTTTCATGACAATCTATAATTTTCACTTCCTATTTTTGTGTGTGTGTGTGTGTGTGTGATTATATTCCGTCTTATTAAACTAAGCCTGTACTGTTATCAGACAAATGTTGTAGAGTAAAATATTTACTTCTGAAATGTTTTGGTGTAGAAGTATAAATCAGCAGAAAATTAAAACGCTCAAGTGCTTACATTACTTAGTAATACAATAATAATATTTCATTAGTTTAATATTTTAAATTGAATTGCAAATTTTTTATTATCATATATAACATTACTTTTCTACTTAAGTATCATAGGATATCTTTTATTAGCTCAGGTATTATATTTTTAGGAAGATATCATACTTTTCTTATTGCTGTTCTATTAGGCACTGGATTTATGTGCTTGTGCTGTAATTTCGTTTTCTTCTCACTACTTGTTACACCACATGAACAACATCCATTTTAAACTCTTTTAAATCAAATTTTGGCTCAGACGTGTACACGTTGGTATTTGACAGTTCACAAAGTATCTCACATTTTCATATAATTGGAGAAATACAACTAATGAAGCCATCATTAACAAAAAAAAATCAACATGTTCAAGTCACACTTTAGAGGGAAATCAGCTGGAGTTAATTTTAATTATTTTACTACTGCTGGGTAATTTGATTAATAATAAAAATGCAGAATTCATCAGCTAATGTATATTTTATGTTATTAACCTGAATTAGCAAAATACCTAAACGGGAAGAGTGGAGTAAAATGTGGCATCACCAAAATATCTATCAAAGTACCTAAAAATTTAACTGTAGTACTTGAGTAAACGTACTTAACGACATTACTCCACTATCTTAATCTAACCTTACCCTCACTCTCACCAGTTATTTCTTTGAGAATTATTTTCACTAATGTTTTGATTTTGCAGATATTTTCATCAGGCACCTCTTACCCCTCCTAGATGACGTCACCGCTCCTCAGAAGACCCCGCCCAGCCCAACAGGAAGACAACAAGCTTCCAAGCCTTAATACGATGAACATTCTCTGCTGTCGGCGCCAATTACAGATTTAATTTTCGCCCAGAGGCGAGCAAATTAGTAAAATGCCCTTATTTGATGGGTTGGGAAGTGGAGGAGAGAAGACCGCGATAGTCATTGATTTAGGAGCAGCGTACACAAAGTGAGTATCAGCCGTTAGCATGCCGGGCTAACTGTGCAACTGGGTCAGCATAATGCTAACAAACAGCTAACATGGGGCGCCATTCTTTAAATAAACTGACCGTGTGTGGATGCAGTTTGTAGAACTTGACCTTTTAGAGCTAACAGAGGTTTTAAAGTTCAGAAACAAGTGCTACATAGTCGTGGAAGTGAATGCTGCAGGGTTGTTAGCTATTAAGCCACTCCTGAAAATGCTAGGCTAACGAGAGACGTCAGTGCTGTGCTACCGTTAGCTTATGCCAAGTTTTGGGTCAAATCCAGCAACGCTAAGCTAAAAACAAATAAATCTACCTAGCTCCACTGGCAGTGCAGCTACGACAGCACAAAATAATAGGCAAATGTTTGCATCTGCGTTCATTTCAGACAACAAGACATAAACAAAAAACAAAGCTCACGATAAACTTATTGAGGTTATTGATCAAGAAGTGTCTTCTAAAATGTTGAGTTACATTTGATGCAACTGAAAAACAATGACTGTACAACAAGCTAAATCTTGTGTCATCAAGATAAATCCTGCCTTCAGATGTTTGTCCATTGAGGAAAGTTTCTCCCCATGATTGCTGCTATTTGAAGGAGCTAAGTAGGTTGTTGACAGCACTTGGTAATCTGAAAGTTTCAGCTGTCATTATATCCTGCATATCTCTAAATATTTAGTATGATTGCAGTCAGCACATTAATAGAAATATACTGTGACTCATACAACATGCAGCACTTTATACTGTATGTTTGCTTGAAGATAAACTGACTCAAAGCAAGTCACATGGAGATCAAGAGGACTGTGTTCTTCTTTTTAAAGAATGATGTCTTTGTGTGCAGTTACTGTCTCACAACATCTGGCACAGAGATGCACTGTTCATTTATTTATATACAACTGCACTTTGAGGGTTTTTCCCCCCCTTCTCATTCAACAATAATATGTTCCTTCGAACGATAGCTGAACGATAATGCTAAAAACTTTATGTTGAGAATATTTTGATAGATATAACTGTGTTATAGCTGTGATATGAGTCACGATTTGGTAATTTGGAAATTATATTTTGTGCATATTTTTCTGCTAGAAATGAACTTTTGCAGTCAAATTGACAGTGGTCACAGAGAGGTGACTACAGATCGAGAGAGATCGCTGCATCAGAGCAGAAGTTGCACATTTTAAAATGTATTCATTTTATTGTGAATCACATTACCTATAATCAGAAAAATGCTGAATATAGGATTTGATAATTAGACAGGCTGATAAATCTGTCGACCCTTAGTTTGGACGTAGTTCACTAGTATTGCTGAAATTATGCTATGCATTAAAATGATTAGTCATGTTTGACAAGAATCAGATTTTTTTTTCATCTGTTCTTGCAGATGTGGCTTTGCAGGGGAAACGGGGCCCAGGTTCATAATTCCGAGCGAGATCCGGAAACCGGGACAGCAGCAGGTGAGACTGTGCTGCTGTGATTTGCTGATTGTAATCATTTGGAATGATGTGTAGAAACTGTGAAGTATTTATTCATGTGGTGTGTGATGTCTCGCTTTCAGGCCACCAAGGTGGTTCAGTACAACATCAACACAGAAGAGCTCTATGTAATCCTCAAAGAGTTTATCCATATACTGTACTTCAGGTGAGAATGAGTTAGTTACCTTTTGTAAATGTTAAAAGAGTTACTAGTTATAGTCATAGTTTCGGTAGCCAAATGCATTTACACTGTAATGAATAACTGTAGTTTTGTCTATTCTGTGTTTTCAGCCATCATAGTAGTTTGTAAAGGCAAAGTGATTTTTCTGTAATGCAGAATAGCCTCATACAGAACAAACAGTACAACAGAGTGATGCAGCCACATAAAGTCCAAGTTTTTCTTATTATTTGCTTCAACCAGGCACCTGCTGGTGAACCCTCGCGACAGAAGAGTGGTCATCATCGAGTCCATCCTCTGCCCGTCCCACTTCAGGGAGACGCTCACCAAGGTCTTCTTCAAACAGTTTGAGGTACCACAACAACGTATATCAGTGTTTTATTAAAACGACACATCATCTGTGGAGTAAACGTCACTATGGAGCACATATCATTGATGTTAGAAGTTATTTGTCACCCAGGGAAATGATCTTGTTACCAGAGTAGTTCATTTGTAATTCATTCTTATATTAAACTGCAGGGTTCCTCCAGTGCTCATCTCCCTTTGCATATATCATTAATTTAAAGATACTGTCAGAATAGTAACAGATGATAAAATAATCATTTATGTCATTTGATGCACTTTGTCACTTTAAAAATTAACTTGTGCCCTGTTTTGATATTTCAAGCTCCAGGCTCCTCATTCATTCTCCCACTGTTCTGTTTTTACGTAATAGTAATAAAGAGTAGACTCAAAATTAAGACGCCAACTGCTGTAGTGTTATTTTTGTCATTTCATTGTGAAATTCTACAATGTCATTTCCACATCCACTTTAAAATTACAGGGACCTAAGTTTTAAAAGTGTAATCACAAATAAACAGACAGTCTTTTAGCTTAGCAGGTATTCCTAATGTTAGGAGTGAATTCTGCCTGCACTGAGGTGTTACTCCATGTTTGTTTTCCAGGTTCCCTCTGTGCTGTTTGCGCCGAGTCACCTCATGGCCATCATGACTTTGGGCATCAACTCTGCTCTGGTGATGGACTGTGGACACACGGAGACTCTGGTGCTGCCTGTATCCTTTTCCCATCATCCTGTGTCCGACTGTCACACGAGAAATGCAACGTTTATTTTTAAAAACCACTGACGTGACAGTTTCAACCCTGGGCCAGATGTCCTGCATAATGTATATTTTAAATTGCAGCCTTTGCAATTTGCTAATTGGGTTGTTTTAAATTTTCCAGCTTTAATGGGAACACAACGGCTTGTATCTTGCCACAAAAATAAATTCTGCATCAAGATTTAGGGAATTATTCCTTGCTGAGGTGGAAGTTTGTTTATCATTGGTTTGTCTGTAAGCAAAACAAACTATGCAAAAACTTCAGCTGAATTTGATGAAACTTGGTGCAGAGGTGGAGTATGGTCAGCTACGTTTTGGTGCAGATCCAGCAGTGTGCTTAGCGGGTGCCTTCTAGTTTCTAGTTAGTCAATTTAGCAGTGTCAGTAAAACTGTATTTCACTCTCTGATGGTTAAACTTTGTTATTAACTTGCGGTTTACATTCATGCTGAACGGTACGAATCGACTGTGTTCTGTTAAACCACTACATTAATGCACAGCTTTTAAATAGATTATTATCCTGTTGCACATTTCAAGTTGTTTATACCACATACTATGTAATCTTGCACATTTTCAGGTGAATAAGTTGCACATTCCTGCACACTAGAGGTCAGTCTATTACTTTTTAGGACTTATAATCCCTTGATTACACTTGCTTCTAATTTGTCTTGTAGCAGTTCCTGTCCACTGACTTGCGACACTTATTTAATCTACATGTTACTGTCATGCCCCAAAAGACCGAGTCAGATTCCTCATATGTGCAAACCTACTTGGCAATAAAACTGTTTCTAATTTCTCATGTGATCCGTTATTCTGAATTTGTAAATGCAAAAAGCAGATTTATAGTCCTGTTATAAATTTGCAGTTCAAGATTTTCACGTTACCTGCTTTAACTGGTTCATCAGGTGTATGAGTGCACTCCTATTCTTCCAGCCTGGGAAGCTTTGCCACTGGGAGGGAAGGCCATCCATAAGTAAGTAGCTCTAAGAGAGAGTGTGCACTGTTTCCACTTGACTGTTAAAATAACGCTTCTGTTTCACTCGTGATTTCTGATTTAAATGAGCTCATATGTGTTTGTTTATTGTAGAGAATTGGACGGACTCCTGGTGGAGCAGTGCACCGTGGACACCGACACCACCACTGGACAGAGCGTACCGGCTGTCATCGGTAATTACAGAGACTCCTCGCACACCATCTGTCTTTGTCTTTTAAATGATGCACTTATAAAGCCATAACTCTGCTGATTTGTGTTACAGTGCCAAGAGCAAAAAAAAAATACAGTGGCAGTGACCCATTATGCATCATTTACTATTCATCAGCAGAACTTGTTTCTGTGTGACCATCGAGTGAATCCCTTTCTCCGTCTGTGAATTATATATATGCACGCAGTCTATTTTAGAGGTTTCGCTCTGTACTTTTCCTTGACGGAGGAGGAAAAAAAACTGATGTATTGTGTCGAGGCAGAGCGAGAAAAGCCACGCATGTACATCAATATTTAAAAAAAGACAGCAGGCCGACTCACTTGACCGGACTGAACTCTGCAGGAAGCGCAAAGGAGCCGAGGTGTCTGTAATTACACTTTTAAACGTGATTCAGAAGACGTGAAAGTCCACAGAGAAGTCGTAAAATGACAGCGACACCAAAAAAAAATCCATGATTTTCTGAAGGGAATCACAGTGGGATTTGTTTGCCACTAAGCAGTCACACTCGTCCTTTGCTGCAGCGTCAGCTCGTACTTCCCCAACCGTTGATTCAGCTTCTTCATAAATCTGACTCGGAAGCGAAGCGGTGGAAGAAAAAAAAAATGGCTGATTGGTGCAAAAGTGAACTAAAGAAAATTAATGTTCACTTCATTTCTTATATCCTCGTCTCATCTTTTCCGCAGGGACCATCCCAGAAGAGACCGTGGAGGACATCAAGGGTAGGTTTCACTGAGTTATTTCAAATTTAAAATCTGCACCTCTTGCTTTTCTCCCACAAGGGTCATGGATCCTTTTTTTTTATTACCTCCAGAGGCAGCTTTCCCCTCATATAAAAATCCAAGCTATAATTGATATACTTTATTTCACTCTATGTACTGATGCATCGAAGGTCACTTAAAATGAATGAAGCTCTGGTCTGTAGCTGCTTTTAATATTCTCACAGCAAAACTGACTCGAGTTTCTTTGGCTCCTCGGTCTCAAACTCGCCTCTGTTATGTTTGTATATATGACTGCTGTGTGCGTGTTTCTTTCCTGCAGTGAGAACATGTTTTGTCAGCGACCTGCAGAGAGGCCTCAAGATCCAGGAGGCCAAATTTAACCTGGACGGCACAGCGGAGGTGAGCGAGATGTTTGTACGGTTATCCTGAAACCGTAGACTAACATTTGCATTGAGTGAAGCTTTTTATTACTTGTGTTTGCAGCGTCCAGCCCCTCCGCCAGATGTTGATTATCCTCTGGATGGAGAGAAAATCCTGCATGTCAAAGGATCTATCAGGTAGCTGCTAGTTTTGTGCAGATTTCCTTACCGTCTTTGCACATATTCTTGTATTTTCTGTTTCAGTTTGCCTGAATTGTGTTTGAATTTATTTTTCAGAGTGTTGCTCTTTTTTTCAGGGACTCTGTGATGGAGATCCTGTTTGAGCAGGACAATGAGGAGAAGAGCGTGGCCTCTCTGATACTCGACGCTCTGGTCAAGGTAGAGAAAAAGTCACTCATTCGGTTATATGTGACAGCATGATGTTATGCTGATGAGTACCGTAATTTTCGGACTATTGAGGCACCTGAATATAAGCCGCACCTACTCACTTTAAAAAGAAAACAAGTTTTGTACATATACAGGCTGCACTTGTCCACGTTATAGCATGAGATATTTACACAGAAAGATTTTTTTAAACTTTTAATTAAATACCGGTAACATACACAAATACTGTAAATGCTTTTTTCCAAACAGTGCCTGTAACACGGCTGGTTAAGAAAATATAAACTACAGCAGCCTACCAGGAAAAGTCATTGATCGCTATCTTCATCTTCCTCCTGCACTAAAACCACTAAAGTCATCTTCTTCAGTGTCGGAGTTGAACAGCCTCAGAATTCCTTCGTCACACACTTCCTCAGTCTCTCTTTTGCTCTCAATGTCACTTTCGTCTTGAGGCAAATTCGTCAAAATCATTAAAATCCATAAATTAGCAGCATCATTGTTTAAGCCGCAGTGTTCAAAACGTGTTCGTTGAAGACAGAAGCAAACCTTAAAACAGGAGTCCCAGCTGTTATTTACGTGGAACAATCCGAATATGACAGTTTTGCTGGCTTGTTAAGACTGTGTAGGTTTGGAAACAGTCGTTTAAAGGCAACAGCGTTTGAACATTGGGACTAATGTGTAATGCAAACAGCCCTATCTGCATTAATGTTCAGCTTTAGTTAGAACTGATTTCTAGATGTGTCACTAAATGGTCGTGTTCGGGGGCTGCAGGTTGTGGTGCTGTTGGAGTTTTATTACATAACCAGCTCGTCAGCCACAACATTAAAACGACTGACAAGTGAAAAACAGCGATTATCTTTTTACAAAGGCTCCTGTCAGTGGGTGGGATAAACGAGGCAGCAAGTGAGCAGTCACTTCTTGAAGTTGATGTGAGTGATTTAGACAAACTCCGATGACGACTGATGAAGTGTTACGGGGGTTGTTCCTGGTACGCACCGAAGGTGGTCCCAAGAAGGACAACTAGTGAACCAGAGACAAGGTTGCGGAAGCCCAAGAATCATATATTCCTGTGTGGTCTGATCCCACAGAACTGCTGAAAACCTTGATGCTACTAGGAAAAGGACAACTACACAACATTAGGAAGGTGGTGGCTGATTGGTCTACAGTTATTGGCAGTCCAGTGTCTTTGTCAGGAGGAGTCTCTCAGTCCTGTTTGTCTCCACACTGAACAGCAGTGAAACAGTTTAACTCAGTGCTGCTGCTACCAAAAGCAGCCTTGTTGTTGTTCGCTGTGGGGATCAAGAGAGTCCAGAACGGCCTAATTAATTAATCTCATAAGGTACAGCAGCTTCAGCCCCAGACTTTCTTTGTAATGCCATTAAATTTTCAACAAGTCTTGTCACATGGCAGCTCTGTTGCTCAGGCCGTATGGAAACGCAGCAGCTTTCCTGAGACATCAGTGGAGCTGAACAGAACAGAACAGACGCTGCAGTGAAGCTCACATTTGGTTTCAGTCTAGTTCAAGGCCGCCTCCTCGAAAACTGTCCTTGCAAATGTCTGTTTATCTTTCAGTGCCCCATCGACACTCGTAAAGTGCTGTCTGAGAACCTGGTGGTGATCGGAGGCACGGCCATGCTGCCCGGCTTCCTGCACCGCCTGCTGGCAGAAATACGCCTCCTGGTGGAGAAGCCCAAGTACAGCGACGTGTTGGCCAGCAAGAGCTTCCGCATCCACGCTCCTCCCGCCAAACCCAGCTGCACCGCCTGGCTCGGAGGTCAGATCTACGTTTGTGCAAATACCTGAGAGAAAACACCGTTTGTATATAACATTTGTAAACCTCCCTCTCTGTTCCATAACTCTGTAGGGTCTCAGCTTTAATATATATTCCAGTCAAGTAAAGATAAGACAAAGCTTTATTGATCCCGAAGGAAATGCTCGTCCCAGATATTGCTCAGAAAAAACAACAACATGAGAACAGAAAAGCAACTCGATATAAGTACATTAGTACATTATTGAAATAAACTAAGTGAGCTAAAATAGACTAGAACAGAAAAATATAGAGTGATTGTGGCAACGATAATGAGGTAATATCAAAGATTAAATTAAAACATTGCACCTGAAAAATGAAATACTGCACTTTATGTTGACTGTTTTACACATGAAAAGGGAAATTCTCTACATGTAATCAAACAACTGCACATGAAAATGAAATGTGACACATAAAACTGATATTTCACAAACTATTGAGAAAGTACTATTGATATTAATATGAATTATTGGTGTTTTATTCAGATCCAAGTGTCAGATGTGCAATATTTTTACTTTCATGTACAACGTTGTCAACATAATGTGCATTATTTCATTTCTCAGGTGCCATATTTTAATTTCATGTATAATATTTTATTATCATGTGTGATTTCACTTACATGTACAATGATAGATTCATTTTTATCTCATTTTCAGGTGTAATATTTTATATCATGTGTCATTTTACTTATTACCTCAGTATAATTGCCAGCATTAGTGTTTGTTGTTCTTTTCTGGCCTTATTTTAGCTCACTTATTGTTTTTTTAGTGATGTTTTGTACTTATATCTTATTGCTTTTTGTACTTTATAGGCACTGTGTTTCTTATTCTACGTTGTTTTGTTTTTTCGGAGCAATATCTGGCACAAGAATTTCTTTAATCTCCTAATAAAGTTTAATATTCTCCTGTTTTTAGCTGTCATAAAGTAGTGCTTTTTAAAATATTTGTACGGTTTTAGTCCTAATCACACCTTAAATCACACTACAGAGTTGTACCTGTGGAGTTTAGTCTTGCTGGGTTGCTTTCATTACACAGATGGTAATCCTTTTTTATTGGAAAGCACTTTGATGAAGCAGCTGTTGTCTTGTCTAGACTTTATTTAATTAACAATTACTTGTCTTATTTATTTGTTTAATTATGACATTTATTTTTTGGGAAGCACTTTGTAACTCTGTTTTCGAAAGGCACCGTACAAATAAAGTTATTATTCCTGTTATTTTTCTTTGCACAGGCGCCATCTTCGGGGCCCTCCAGGACATCCTGGGCAGCAGGTCGGTGTCGAGGGATTACTACAACCAGACCGGCCGCATCCCGGACTGGTGCTGCCTGAGTTCGCCTCCGCCCGAGTCTTTGTACGAAGCAGGAAAAACTCCACCTCCGCTAATGAAGAGAGCGTTCTCCACAGAGAAGTAGAACACGCTGGAACATAAATTAAACTCCGGTTCGGTAGTCTTTCATATAACATCTCTGCTCTCGTCGGTTTCATTTGTTAACTACACACACAGCTCAAGGTGTTCCTAGTGTTGAGTCGTTAACGTCGTGTTTTTTTTATGCACCGTCTGTTTGACGCCGAGGTGAGCGGACGGTCGGATTTTTAGGCTGTTGCATTAATATTGCACAAGAAATGGTCCAGTGTTAAAATTTTTAAAAGTGCTACGTGCAGCCACGTGTGTGAGCGAGATCCTGAATCTGTACGTGTTTCCTGTCGAGCTCGTTTTCTTCTGTATTTTGGTGTCAGTTGGACTGAAAAACAGTGTGTTCAGCAGAAATCATTCAGATGAAGTTAAATTAGTCATCCGTTTATCGGCAAACGTACAGAAAATGTTGCTCAACTCCGGAGACAGCAGACCATCATGAACCGTGGCGTCATCAGAAGAAAGAAAAACAATTCCATTTATTTATTGTCTGTACTTAAATGTGTGAAGTGACTTTAAATACATTTAAACTCCTGCACACACTCTCAGGTGTCCTCAGTATTTCCTGATGAACATTTCTCTGGTTTGAGGCTACGTTCACACGAATACACTTTGATTCTAAAGTGCACAACTTCTGCTACGTTCACCCAAAGCGTCCACGTTACTCTGCCACATAGTGAGCCCAGTAGTACGTCATTAGGTGGACACTTTGCCACATAGTGACCCGTATTCACTACGCCTCAAGCTACGGTCACACACAAGTCATCACTGGGCTTCTACACAGAATTTATCCTTTAGTTTACTGAGCTTGGGATAGTTTTTGTGCACAGAGGTTTGAGATTTGTGTCCTATGATGTAATTTGTGAGCCAATAGTTGGAGATTTTGGGAACCAGCTAGCTGACGTTTAGCTTAGCTTAGCAAAACGGAGTGGAAACGGGAAGTATGTTGACTTGTGATTGAAATAGAAACAAGTCAGAGCTTCTTTTTTTTTTAAATCATATAGCAGATTGATTATACAGTCAGGTGTTGCCAGACCATTCTCCAGTGCTGCAGAATATTCTGGCCATGCAGGACAAGCAACACTAATACATTTCAAAATGCACAGCTGTGTTTACGCTGAGCGACTACACTACTCCAGCGTTTAATTAACATACGATGGAGACTTTAGGAAACATTGCTGACCTCAGTGTCGCTGGAAAGCTTCGAGGTTGTGTTTTACCGAAACAATCATGCAGACGTCCGTGTTTTCTTTCTGACTGGATCTCACTGTTGTCACTTAATTCGTCGTGCAAATTAATTGTTATCCTGAAAATACAAACACATCAGCATTGATGAATTTAACACAGATAATCAACTGCAGATGTTTCTGACCTCGTAGCAGCTGTTGTGCAGTTAAAGAAATATCCGGTCCGTAGTATTCTCGACAACAGTTCAAATCAAAACGCCTCAAAATGCTGTTTTAAAATAAGATGGTATTCATGTGGATGTCGCTTCTGGTGCACTTAAAAGACAAACAAATGTAAATCTTCTGCTCTGACAGGTGCAAAGGTTTGAGGAGATGTTATTTAATGTTCTAACCAGAGTTTTGATCAGGCTAAACAACTGAGAACACCATTGGATGTGTAGTTTAAGGTCATTTAAAACAAACTTCAGACAGAAATGTTGCTCTGTAAACCTGAAAAACCCTCATTACAACAAATAAACACTCAAGCAGACTTGCTTTTCAGTCGTTATTCAACTCTGATGTTTTACAAATCAACAACCAAACCGACTTTTTTGTGTGTGAAACTATCTAATAAACATCAACTGTCCACAGATCTGCTTCTAAAAGCTACAAAACAAGCAGGATAAACTGTGTCATTGCACCAGTTTCTCAGTTTCTGTTTCACTGCACCATAAAACCGTCAACCCAGAAAAAGTAGCTCTTTTTTCCCTGAGTTTTGCCTCAGGCGCTGAAATTTCTGAGCTGTAGATTATCACAGTGAAATGCGACATTATTCCAGGCCTCACGTCTTAATTCCTCAATAACTGGTACGAAGAAATACGGAAAAGGTTCCCAGCGTCTCTCTGCGTTTATCTGATGTGCAGTTAACACGAAAACCGTCAGCTCATGGTTTCTGTTTCACCTCGAAACGAAAAAGAAGGGAAGCTACAGAAGCTTTCAGAGGGACTAATGCCTCCTGAGAGGGTTATTAACAGGGAGTTTATAATGTGTTTGCAGCACAGTGTGGCTGATATCCTCGACATGCTGTTCACGTCCTGGGATGGAGCTGCATCTGTTTGGCCTTTTGGGTCACATTAATCACTCGGCGATTCTCCGTCCCGGCTACTGTGGGAAACGGTAGAGTTACCCAGAATGCACCTGCAGCTTCAGCGAAGACGTGTGGGAAATCGGCTGATGTTTGGGTTTTGATTACAGTCGTAAAATTAGGGATGAACGCTGAGCAGCAGAGACGGATTACAGGCTGCAGCGGTGGAGTCAAAAGGTGTCAGTTTGTCTCTTCTGGATGCGTGTTCATTAATTCGTACTCCGGTGGGGAAAGTTTCGGGGTTGCAGCTGGACACATCTGTTTCCAGGTGAGCTGTGGAGCCTCGTTCAGCTCCACTGGGATTTGGAAGAAGATGGTAAAAGCTTTGCTCTTCATCTGAATCCTCTTGTTGAAAATGATGCAGCAGAAGAAGTGAGGAAACAGAATGTTAACTGGTCGCATAGTTTGCAAGTTTTACCCGTCGTACTATGAATATTTTCAGAGTTGAAGCACATAGAGGTGGAGGTTTACTTTATTTCTGAGCCTCTTAGCTTCATCAGTGCACCAGATAGACTCATGAAGTTTTCAGTTCTGTTCAAACCTGCAACCAAATCAAGTTTACATCCGTCCAGGAGTCACTATTTGAAGGTTAAATCTGCTTTTCTGTTCATTTTTATCAAGTTTGAGCACCAATATTATGGGATGTACCGTAGTTTCAGCAGCAAAACTGCAGCAGTTTAACGTCTATGACACAGAGTTATAGCAACAATCATCAGTACCCTGGATGTGTTTCTGTTTTCTGATCATTCACCAGAGAAAACTGTAAAAGTGCATTCTGGGTAAACAAGTCTCATTTTCAACCACATTTGATACCAGGATCATCTACTGGCTGTGATTCCTTCTGGATCTAAATATGATGATGATTTATTTGATTATAAAGGAGCCATGTTGAAACTTTTTTCAGATTTGCTTCATTTTATCTGGAATCTGGCTTTTTTTTAAAAGTCTAAATGTTAACTAGTGAAGATAAAAAGGCAGTAAAATATCCTTTTGTTGTTTGGAACAGCTACCAGGGTAATTAATTGAACTTGTTTGAATCCTTATTTATGTCTGTGTTCCTCTTTCACCACTTTTCATGCCAGAGTCCATCAGTGTGGAGGTCTGAAGTCGGGCTGCAACTGGTTTATTTAAACAAAAAAGTGGCTTCATTAAGCTGTTGTGTGATTTATAACAGCCTGATGACAAGATACTGAGACACTATAATCCTTCAGATGGGAGTATGAAGCTGCTCTTCTTGGAAACAAATGAGTTCCAGCCTTCGATCGTGCGCTCAGTTGACTCATGAGTATAAACTCAGAGGATCGGCGGTTGCATAACATCAGAAACCAGCTTTTCTCACATGATCCCTTTCCGGGTGCAGACAGCCGCGGCCTCGCCCACATCTGAGGGTCCGGAGCACCTGCTGCTGCCTCTGAGGGGAAGCCCTTCCTCCCCAGACCGAACTGGGACTGCAGCATCAGCGTGGTTCCCAGAGGCAGGAAGCGGCAGCAGCTGTCCGTCTGACCTCTGGCTGTCTGCGGGGGAACCCCGGAAAGTGGGTGAAGGCCTGAGCTTCACTCAGCCGCTCGCAGGTCTGTGAAATGGCCATAAGTGGTCATCGCAGGCTGCACGACGCGGCAAACTCACACGGTTCTCTTTTTCTGCAAGGAAAGGCTCTCTGGTGGAGCATCATTTAGTCTAATCTAAGGGTGCTTTGAGCTGTTTTGGACTTTATTTAAAAGACACAGTTCGTTGACCTGCAGGCTCCACATGTGCAAAGAGAGAAACGCTGAAAGGTTTAGAAAAGAAACGCAGTTGGAAACATCTCAGCTACAGGCAGGATGGTGTTGACTGGAGCAGGTTCTTTGGCAGCAGTGTCTTGCAGAAAACAGAACTAATATGTTCGACCATTTAAATCAGCACCACAGAGTCAGATCTGAATGAATCCAAAAGGAAAACATCAGACGTCTTTACTAGTGTTGCACCATAGAAGAAGTCTTCCAAAGGCTTATTCAGGTTTTTGTTTTATATTTTCTGTGCAGATGAACGTTATTGTAGAGTCATTCTAGAGCTTGTTTTATCACCTGCAGTAAATATTGCAGGTAAGCCAAATATCATGATGTCGTTTTAATCTCCAGTAGGGTTCAGGTCTGATCTGGACTCAGCTGGTGTCTTCAACGAAGATAAAAGCTTGATGAAACATTTACAATTTAGTATTATTATCATCCTTTGCACATCTCAGATAATGAAGTTTTTAGAACAATTTCTGCTCGACCGTCTCTGGTTCAGTTTTTATAGCATAAAATAGAGATTTTTATTAAGATTTTGTAAAGTTTTAACTTCATGTATCAAATAATTTGTGATTTTTTTTTTCTAAATTGTGCATCAATTCAGCTTTTAAGCTCCAGAATTGTTCGACTGAGCTCAGATTATCCAGCAGTATTTTTCAAACCTGCTCAATCAGTCTTCAAAGTTCAACAAAAATACATTTCTTTCCTTTTTATGATCAAGTATTTTTATATTATAAAGTATTCTGTGTGTTTTGTTTTGCATTAATGTGAACTTCAGCTACATGTGGTTCAGAAAGTATCCCTATAGCTGACTTCTGCATCATCAGTGTTTTTGTTAAAATGTGCTCAAAGATGGAACTTTTCATGACGGCTTCAACTTTTTAAAAAATATATATTTCAATTCACCCATAGTTAGAGAAGATTTGATCTACTTGTCAAATGTTGTAGATTCTGAATCAATGACATGAGGAGAAGAAACGGAGTCATTTTCAGACTTTTAGCCTAAAAAGATCCTCAGATATTGTCAGAAAAAACGTGCTGTAAGTGGGTCGATAGACTTTTTTTTTTTTTCTTGGAAAATGTTTAATGTATTAAGTTAAGACTTCACAGAAAACATTGCAATATTTCTAATATTTTTATTCTAAAAGTAGAATTAAAACTCAATAGAAACAACACTTTTATTACTTTTATAATACCTCATGTACACTGCTCTTGTTTTTTTTTTTTGTCTTCTAACACGTACTGTTCATTTGACCTATAACTTTTGCTTTTTAATAATATTTTATGATTTTTGTTCCCATAGTGGAATAAAAAGTTGGTCGATGGGCAATTTTTTAAAGAAATGCTATCTTGGAAAGTGTTTCATATATCAGGCTAACGTTTCACAGATTACATTTTAATATTTCTGATATTTTTTATTCTAAAAGTAGAAATAAAACGTTTTTTTTTTTTCAATTTTATTACTTTTATAATACCTTTTATACACTAAACTTGTTTTTTTGGTGTCTTCTAACATGTCCTGTTTATTTGACCTTTAACATTTGCTTTTAATCTTTAATCCTTTGATTTTTTTCCTACTTGTCAGAGTCTGAACCAAAACACACACCAAGTTAAATTCCTCGTATGTGAAAACCTACTTGGCAGCAAAACTGATTCTGATGCTCTGCACTGATAGAAAACTCCTCTTGGACCTGCTCGACTTGCTGATTTTAGCGTTTTTGTCTTTTAATTTTCTATAACACGAGGTGGTTCGCAGACTAAATTATTCATGCATTAATTAACGAGATACAAACATGATTCTTCCCCAAATTGGCTCGACATCAAAGCGTCGGAGGAGGGAAAGAAGAGGCATCATCCATCTCTGTTATCTCCCCCACAGAGGCTGGAACTCACAACGCAGCAGCTCAATTATCCTGTAAATCGCTCCGACTGAGGAAACCATCTGAGCCCCTCCAATAAATGTGAGCGGCTCCTGCAGAAAAACAAGACGTGAGATGAGGCTCGATCTCTGCACCTGTTGGACGTGAGCGAAATCAGGATGAACTGAAAATTAAAGCATCACGGGGGTGCGATGGAAAGAAAACTAGACGTTCACTGATGATAACAGAAATGTTATCAGCACCCAACACGCATCAGGAATCAAAGAGTCGCTCTGAGACGCTCTGCTTGTTGCTGAGCGTCAGTGTTGATAACCTCAAGTCTGCTGCTGCTGCTGAGCAAAGACTGAACAGGCAGCACCTCAGAGGGCCGAGGCGCAGAAACAAAACTCAAGGTTTAAACTGTTAAAGCTGAGAATCAGAGGTGAAGCTGCATCATGTGTAGGCTGGAAGTCAGTGTTTCAGGTTTATAATCAATAATATCAATGATAAACTGTCAGTTTTTGTAACTGTTGTGTTTGTGGTACCTGTTTGCAAATGCACTCTGCACTTTTTAGACTGTTGCTGTGTTCCAGTTATTATATTTATATAACCAAATATCAAGTCTCAGCCTTTTTGTTTAGTTTGGTCATGACCAGATAAATAAAGAACATCAGATGTATCATAGACGATTCTGTTTATTAAGTACAGGCTGGTCAAAAAAAAAAAAAAGTAAATCAGCAAGTAAATTATTTTCTAATCTAGTTATTATCTGTAATTTTATATATATAACAAAACAGGAACATTCTGAAAATTAACAGTAAATTTAAGTTAAAAACTGAAAAACTGTAATAAAAAAAACATTTTTGTGTCCAGACACAAACGCACACTGGAAAAAGAAAGAAAGACAGAATCTGTTTTTTGTTGTTGTTGTTGTTTGTTTGTTTGTTTGTTTGTTTGTTTTTAATAAATGGTGAAACTCTGAAACTCTCTGCTGGAAGAAAATATGTTTAAAAAGATGGAATACTGGAAAATTAAAAACTGGAAAACCGGTGAAAATAGCAGCAAAAATCACGATATTTTATTTGTTTTAAATCTAGTAAACAGTGATTTTACAGTCACATGTTGTTAAAAATAAATAAGAATGACTGTTTGTAAAAATATTCCGTTTTGATGTGGATGTAATTTTTTTTCAGATTTTTTTTTTCTGTTATTTTAGTATGTACATCGTATTTCTTCTCCTCCTTATTGATCATCAGCTGCTGATTATCGGCTTCGTCCACGTCGTCGCGCGCTCCGCTCCACAGCTGGGCTCGTGCACAGTGGGGCGGCGCGCAAATAAAGGCTCGCGCTGCTGCTCGTTAACGTTTTCAGTTCATCCAGAAGAAGAAGAAGAAGAAGAAGAAGAAGAAGAAGAAGAAGAAGAAGAAGAAGAAGAAGAAGACAACAACAGGAGGAGCTCAGCAGCATGCAGAGTCTCCTGAGGCTCCTATTGGTTCTTCTGACGCAGCTCATACCTGCGCAGGTAAATAAAACCACCTTCTGCTCTTCTTCTACCTTTGCCTCCTCCTTCAGGTAGGACATTTCAGTCATTGTTTACTATATTTAAAGTGACAGTTAATCCTAGACGTCACTTATCTTGCTCTATTTCGCATTTCATCCACGTTAAGGACAGACTTGAGGTTTCTTTGGTCGCTCTGTGGAGCTTTAGTGACTCCAGTGTGGCTCCAGTGTGGCTCCAGTCAGCCCTGACGGTCACACAGCTGTTCAGCTCCAACATCTGCATGCAGAGGTTCAGTTTCCACGTTCGTGTTGACCCTAACAGCCAGCCTCAGCCAGCTGCTGCTCCACATTCACACTGACATGTCCAGCCCAGACAGAGAAGCAGTGACAGTCTGAGGTGAGGGTTGCTTCAGCCACAGATGTGGTAATAAAGCCTTAATCATACATGTCTGTGGGTCCAACAGCAACCTGAGGCAAAGTGTCAGCCACAGTGACAAAAAGGTTTTTCTAGTTCTAGCATTTTACTAGTTTTTAACTTTAATTTTAAAACACAGTTTGCTGTTGCTTTACCAATGTTTCCTGTTTTGTGAAATTACAGGAATTACAGGTAAAATCACAGAAACATAAATTAAACTAGATATTAATGGTAATAAAACAGACCAGAACTGTAAAAAATAAAATAAAATTAGAATAAAAATGTATGATTTTATAAATCTGAATTTGTTCTTTTACTGTATTAAAATCAGCAAAATATATCTAACTGTTTTAAAGATATCTGCCAATAGTAAAGTAAAATTGAGTGTATTAAGAATAGAAAAATGGCAGTAGCATCTAGTAATATCAAGTTAAATCACAGAAAAGAGCAGCTAATTAGTGACACGTTGACTCTAAAAGAAACAGACCAAAACTGTACATGATGTCCATATTAAAAATCTTTTATTTAATTTTATAAATAGTAATTTGTTCTTTTACAGTGTTTGACCATAAATACTTTTTAGACAGTTATTTTCCTGGTTTTGATGAATTTCAAATAATATTTTGTAAAATCACACAAAAAAGTAATAATTTACCTGGGGACTGTAAAAATACAACAACAAAAAACTGGTCCAAAATTGTGGGCATGTAAGAAATATTTGTAACACATTTTTAAAAAAAGAGATATTTGCAGTTGTTTTTGCTATTTTTACAGGTTTCAGACATTCTTTTCTTGCCCCCCTCCTTTCCAGATTTTCACAGCTTTACTTACAGATTTATATATATTAACTGTGCAACTTCTTATGTTCTGACAATAAAACAAGCTAAAAATTTATGTAGCCTAAATCAAAAGGTTTCCGTTAAATCCAAAATTTTGTGAAACCTGTTTCGTAGTTCCGTTTTGTTTTGCAGATGTTTGAAGCGACACAGTTAAAGATCATTTATAGAAATACTTGTACTGGAGGACAGTAACTAAGTACATTTACTCAACTTATTTGAATTTTGTGTTACTTCACTTTTATATTTTTTCCTTTTATTCTACTTCCTGCTGCGTCTCCTCTACATTCACTCAGAGATGTTGGACTTTCTGTGTTTATCTGACAGCGTTTAAAGACTTGACACAGTGGATGACTTAAAGAACAATAATAATACGTCCACGGTGGTTTGAGGGTCACAGTAAACTCTCTTATCTCTTTGCTGTCGCTGTCTAATGCAGAAGTTCCCAAACTTTTCAGGCTTTATCCCCCAAAATAACCAGAGACTTGCGGCTCCCGCAGTCCCCAGAGAAGGTGGAGGCATTCAGACACTATACGCAGCCGCACACATACGTTAACCGACCTAAAGCAAGACAAAAGAACAGCTTAGTGTCATTTTATAGTAATTTAATGTGGACTAGTAGCAGAATCATGTGATCCACAGTCAACAGGAAGCGTGTAGGAGCAGCAGACAGTTTACTATGAATAAAATATGAACATTTTATTTGATTTCCTGGGGTCATCTCAGGTGGTTTTAGGTCCCATTTTGGTTACTACTGTTCTAATAAATGCCACAAAAACTGAATTTAAAAACCTAAGATGATCACACACTTATTCTGTTTAGCTTTCAGAATGTGGGTTTGCAAATCTTTAGACTATTTAAAGACAAATGACCAGAACCGATATTGAATTTCACCAGAATTCTTTCTAATTTGCCGAGATATGAGGTAACGTTTTGTGCAAATTTTTATTTTTTATTTTTTTGCCTCTTAAGTACAAACATGTGTGATATTTAGACACCATCACAGCAAGACAGAACAAGTTGTATTTCATCTTTTGTGTCTTTTAAACTGTAAAAATCATTTATCTTGGAAGCTTTAAGTGACAAAATTAAAGACAGAAAAGAGAAAAAAATCTAAATTTGTTCTATGTTTAACACGTTTCAGCGTTTTTAAAGTTACTGTTTTCTATGTGCCACATTTAAGGAGAAATTGTACATTTACATGAATAATTTAAACATGAAAGTAAAGACCTGACAGTGTTATATATTATAGATGTAGATTGTTCTGTGTGGCTCATGCATGTTTGTTTGTAGCTGCTTTCTTTGTCAGCAAACATTAAAAATAAATTTTAAAAAATCCCAGAATTCTACAGACTACGGCTGTTGTTCAGGCTTTGAAGCAGAAAAAGTTCCCATCAGTGGAAATCAGGAGGGAGGCGAGGAGTCAGAAACAGAGAGCTGATGTTCAACAGGAGGACGGAGCCAAGATCAACTCAGCTCGGCTCCGTTTGTTGCTCAGGAATGGGGAACATTGCGAGTTTGGATGCCGAGTCGAGGCTGAGAACTTGACAAACTTCACGCTGTTTCGTGAGACTTTCGAGCGCGGCCTCTTTGTCTTAACTGTGTTTATTGTGTGCGAAGCTCCCAGGAGTGAAGGCTGCGGCTATTCTTCGCTGTTATTCTTTGGATGCTTTGAGGGGTTTTTGCTTCTTGTGATAACAAACCTTCTCGTGTTGCACGCAATTGAGAAATCAAAAGTGCTTTTGTTGTCAGCTGGCTCATGTCACTGCTGGCTGCACTGAGACCTGGAAGCTGCATCGTTGTTTTTACTGGGATTAAAGGGAGCGCACTGGTTTGTGTCGGCCGCTAGAGGGCGCCCTGCAACCGCAAACCTTTTCCATCGTGACTGATTCTCACCTGTGGAGGTAGAAGTGCTCAGATCCTTTGATTAAGCAAAAGTACCAACAAGTAGGAATACTCCATTACAAGTAAAAGTTCTGCAGCAAAAATCCAACTTGAATAAAAGTATCTCATTATCAGCAGCATAATGTAGTTAAAGTACTGCAGCAAAAGTCCTGGTTTAGTCCCTCTGACTGATATATTATTATTTATGACATAATTTTATTGTTAATAGTGAAGGTTACTGTTGGAGCTGCTTTATATCCAGTTTTATATGCTGGAACAAGATAAATCTGAGACTCCAAACATGATTAATGGGCGAGGATAGAAGAAAAAAACGACATTTTAATGCTTTAATCTTTCATTTTTGCTGTAATATTGGGTCATTTGAACAATTATAGAGAAGAAACGGGTGTTTAAAGGAGGAAAAAACACTATTTTTGTGAAACAGAAAGAAGGAAAGCAAAGAAATGTTTCCTAATCTGTGATTTTTGCTGAAATATTTGATCAATTTAATATTTATTGAAATAAAACAATTTGGTGGATACAACTAAAATATGAGCCTGACTGCAAAAAAGTCAAAAAAGTTAGAAATCGCTGGTTTAATCTTTAACTATATGTTCTATTATCCACTAAATCAAATATTTGGGGTCCAAAATGACGACGATCAGAGTAACAGGATGATATCGCTGATGAAAAACTCAAGTAATTAATGATATAGGTTCTCTAAGTGTTATTCAAGCTGCACATCTACTTCCCAGCTACAGTTTTTTGGTTCTGAAAAGGTTCTGAAAATGTTCTAGTAATGTTTTTAGTGGGAAATTTGATTTTAGTTGCCAGAATGTTCTTCTTAAAGTCAAAATAAAGTTCTCTGAAGATGCTCTTCAAAGCGTAATTGTTTGTTTTCCACTGCGTTTAGTATTCAGCGTTATTATAAAAGTGCAGACAGGTTTATTAAAAGTACAGGGATATGATTTTTTCTGCACCTTTATTCACTTAATTTTAAATAATTTCTTGTCTATTTTATTGCATACTTTATCTTTACATGCTTCTATGTTTCTCATCTTTTTAGCTGTTTTAATCAGTCTGTTTTAAATCTGTGTGCACTCTATTCAACTTGTCTGTGCTGTTTTCAGTTCATTTTTCATATTTATTTATTAAAAATGTGTCTGTAAAGCACTTTGAATGGCCTCTGTGGATGATAAGGTACCACAGAAATAGAAACCTTCTCATTTGAAAATAGTGCAATCATGAGATAAACATCTAAAGAAGCTCTTATAAACAATTAAAGCTGTAAAGAAATATAAAGTGGATACTAAAGTAAAGTGCCAGCAAGACTGTCTGCATCACTGCTGTTGACTCTGTGTGAACCTCATCTCTTATTTGTACGTTTATTTTGCAGATGCTGCACCTTCCACATGAGGGTAACTCCACAGGTAACACAGGTAAGGATGAAGCTCTTCTTCCTGAGTTTTCCACCTGTTGCCGGCGCCGTAAAGACAAACTTTGTCTCGCAGTGATGGAGTTCCAGGAGGTTCTGGAGAGGAGCAGGTGTCGGCCGATGGAGCAGCTGGTGGACGTGGAGCGAGACTTCCCCGAGGAGGTGGAGTTCATGTACAGACCCGCCTGCGTGCCGCTGTGGAGATGCTCCGGCTGCTGCGGCGACGAGAACCTGGAGTGCCATCCGACGCTTGAACGCAACGTCACCCTGCAGGTGAGGCCGGATCTCAGGTTAGAGATGATGGAACAGCGAGGGAGGGGAAATATGGAGCTGTTTTATGAATAATCTACTGTCATTTTACAGATTTTCTCTGTTTTATCAAATTACACATAATAACTACTAAAATCACAAAAAAATATATTTATTTACATATTTTTTTTGCAACTCTGACCATAAAATTACACTATTTTTTACTGCATTTAAGTGAGCAAACAATGATTATTTAACAGATATTCGCCTTTATCTGATGGGGGGGAAAAAAAGATGTTTATGTAGGAATAAAAAAGTTGTTTGTTTTTTTTACTGTCATTTTACCAATTTTCCTGGTATTGTTGTAAATTATAGATAATAGTAAAATCTCAGAAAAAAAAAGATATAGATTTACATATTAACTGTAAAAATCAGGTCAAAACTGTAAAAAAGAAAAGTAAAAAATATCTGCTTTAAAAATGCGTTTTGTTATTGGTAATTTGTTCTTTTACAGTGTGACCAAAGAAAATGACACTATTTTTACTTTATTTAAATTGACAAAAAAAATAAAAAAGATTTTACAGATATTTGATGTTTTCATGTTAGGGATTGAAAAAATGGTAAATTATTTTTTAAACAGTTATTTTACACACTTCCCTGTTTTATTAAATTACAAAAATATATATCTAGTATAAAAATCTCAAAAAGAAAGCATTCATTTACATGTTAACTGTACAAAATAGGTCAAAACTGTAAATAATATCCACAGCAAAAATCTGCATTTTTAAAAGTGCTAGTTCATTCTTATACAACATGTGACCATAGAACTACACTTGTTTTTTATTTTATTTTATTAAATCAGTTAAAATGTTTTTTTCTGACACTCTTGCTTCCAGATTATTAACAGTAGTTTTTAACACTTTAACAAGAAATTGAGGTTAATTAAATGAATGGGTGCAAAAAAAAAAAAAACTAATCTAATTTATTATTACAGATAAACCTTTCAAGTTGCAAACATTGTTTTCTGCCTGACTGATTCAGATCTTCTTGAAAAGTTATGTTGAAATAATAATAATGCTGTCAATTACCCCTGACTTAATGAGTGTAATAAAAAACTGAAATTGCTGCGTTAATCTTTTTAAAACAGCATTCAAGTTGCGGCAAATTAATTAAATTGGCTCGATAGTTTAATTTGCCTCCACCAGGTGTTAATTCTTCAAAAACTTGTTTAAGCTCCTGATTTGTTGAGTGATTGAAACAGGACAGACTAGTTTGTTTATGCACCATCATTTCATTAGAACTT